CTGCTTGTTAACGGCATACCAGTCAGAAACCAGTAACTATATCGTATTTTCAGACTACCCAACGGATTCCAAGTGACCTGAAACTCGAATAAGAGCAAAGCTGAGCAAGTTCCATGTTAGGAGGTCAGAAGGTTTGCAATACGGCAGTGAAGCATCGGGTTGAACCCTTGATGTCTGCTGTCGATNGATGACGATGATGATGATGATGATGATGATGATGATGATGATGATGATGATGATGATGATGATGATGAGAAGGTTTGCAAAACAACCTCGACATACGGTACTCAACTGATCAGGTGAGTGCAACAAGTTTGTTGAGTTTTAGAATAGACAGAATAGTCATCAGTAGACATTTCGCCTATCAGGGTCGTTATTATTTGCCTCCATTTCAATTCAAACGGTCAAATGAAATCCTTTTTAATCATAAGCACTAGAGTTTCATTAAAATTTTGATTCGTCCCTTGCATTGATCATTTTGTTCATTTGTTGGTTAGATGAACTCGCTCACGAGTCACAGATTTATGTGTTCATCTGACCAGTTTGAGCTTCTAGGTACACCAATGTTCGTTCTCCTCACACAAATAGGATATGGCTATAAGTACATGCTAGTTCTGTTCGAAAGAACAGGTTAGACAAGATAGAATCCTCATAATGAGCCTGTACACCTCAATCAACATGATAGAATTCATGGTTTTATTGGTAGCCCCCCTCAAATGGAAAGAAGTCCCTCCGAAGAAGGGGTACTTCTTTGGAGAGCCTACAATGGCGGTATCTCCCAATAGCAATTTGCCATAACTCCCTGAAGATAAACCAACTCCACGAAGTTTGAAAAACCCAGTTTCAGTAATGTTCTCTCTCTCCAAGGTATGATCGTGGGCCTCTGATGATATGCACGTGTTCGCGTTTGGACACGCAGCACTTGCATAGCTACACACGTCTGATGGTTAAAAAATCACTTAGAGTTGGTTGTCTCAGTAACTCACAACTACATGCACCATCGTAGCAGCACTCGTCGTCGTCACGTTCGCAAGTTCAAAGGCTGCCTGTCGTATGTGGCATGTCAAACGTACGTTTACCATTTGCCATGCGCATTGATTCGTCGTGTGATTCCAGCGTTGCACCGCAGCAGACAATCATCGACAGATCAATGTGATGAACCGATAGCGGGTTTGGTTGACTAGTTCGCTTCACTTGACAACACTCGGGGTCAGGCTAATTAACCCGATCCCCCATAATTGTTATTGACGTCAGTTTGTGCTCGGGGTGGTTGCAAACTTGTCAACAGAGACGTACCATGCACCCACACAAACACACGATCGAAATGAATACTAGTGTGTCCGATGAAATTAATCGATTCCAATCAAGGTCACTATGGGACATGTAACGGCTTCTGGTGTCACTGGTCACACTAGCCAAAATAGCTACTTTGGCTCGTGCCCCTCTGTCGAATCAGCATGATGCCAGATAAATTTTCTATTAGGCTAGAAGGATCACAACAGTCTGCTTGTTCTGCTGTTAAACGCAAGACAATCGATATGTCACTCTGAACCTCTCTGAAGTTATTTCCCCGCCGCATTCTCCGCTAGACTAGATGTAATATAATTCCCTAGAAAATGGTCCATGTTATAAACGAACATGCTGTGGTTTTTGGTTTGTCCATTTTGTCTAGGCCAACGGATGATCCAGAATCCACAGGAATGCTATTGTACACTTTGGACACAAAAATCTGTCAAAAGTGGAAGAGCTTGATTAATCTGTGCACAGCAGAAACTTATCAGTACGTACCAAGGTAAGAAAAAAGCTGGAGTCGGAAAAGTGAACATACACGTGCGTGGAATGCGTAACCCGTGACAGAGAGACTTGACCTTACGGTCCACGGAGCAAAAAGTGTCTGAGTCGCCTCCACAAGATGACATTTAACCCAGAGTGCATTCCTTTTGTGCAGAAAACAAAGGCCAATTACGAACGGTGCATAAGTTTAGATTAGACGGCTGCCCTCCTCGGGAATGATCAGTCTTAAAGAATAGCCAGATACACTTGCACAATTGAATGTGGACAAGTGAGCCAGGATAATATCCATAGTTTCCTTGTAAATAGACCGTAAGAGAGAACCCACCGAAAGTGGTCTATTCTAAGAGTCGTAGAAATGTTAAAAATGTAGAAAGTCTTTTCTGAAGGGACACTCTTTTCAGAGAATAACTGCATAACGGAAGTTTAAGAGCTTACGGTTGACAGGCATACTGCATCTGGAGACCCGATGGGAGTCGTTTTTCGGTTTAAGCACGGTAACACTGAGGTGGACGTCACAATTAATGTATCGCTTTTTTTCAGCATCATGTCATTTTCCCCTAGCTAGATATACTTTAACATATCAGTATTTCTCAAGGAATGTTTCAAACGAGATATTCGGTTTGTAGTGGTTAAAAGATGTGTTCAATGGGGCCCACAGACCCTGTCATTTGGTAGAGTGGAAGTGAAGACAACGGAAGTTCCCTTGGGAACCAAAGGATTTCACACCGATGCGGCAATCTTCAGCAGTTTTGTCCCAAAACCCACGTCTCTCAGGCGAACACAACTCCCAGTGAAGCAGTTTTACGAGGGGCTGATGCATGTATGCTTGTGACTTGTTTAGTTCCTAGGGCAGGGTTACACGGAGTACTGAAATACGTCACGACTGTGCGCACGGTCTTTTGACAGACCCATCATTACAGAATTGACGTTCGTGTGAAATTAAACCAGAACTCTGATTAACTCAGCTCAGCTAAAGCCTAATGCTGCACAATGGTTTCAACCTTCCTTGCTAAGCAATTCATTCTCTAACCCTATTTATGGTTGAAAATTCGAGGTGAAATCTGCTGCCATCCGCTGTATTCTCAGCATTCACTAAAATCTATTCGTCTACAGCTAGCATGTGTAGACAGTGTGAGGAGACTGATAATCCTGCATTCAGACAATATTTGATAGGGATATCATCTTAGGAAGTGCGGAGCATCTCTATTCATATTGGGGTATAGATTGAATGGGAGTCGTGATATAACCCTTCCTTCACCCATGTCTTCTATGCTGTAATGGGCAAACAGCTCCACAGGTGTCAACTCTGGTATTCAGCATGGAATGAAGGATTTGCTAGTGTTGACGAATTGTTCGTTCGCTCAGCTTTCAAAGGACGATGAATTCCATTTCACTGTTTTTAATCAGCTCTAGAACAGAACACTTTCATCTTATGGGTTTGAACTGGAAGACTCACACTTCTTTCAGAAGTTTCAACGTGAAGAAATTCAAATGGTTCAATGTCTCGTCTTCGGTACAGTACATCTACCTGGACACAGAAGTTTCTGATATTTGAGGTAGTGAGAATCTTGTTCCAAATGTGTTATCACTAATATAGAAAACAGACTTCTCTGCGGTTTGTCGGTGTCCGGTGCCTACACAGCTCCGAACAACTACTCCACAGCACATTGAAGAGGATGCCTCGGTTGGTGACGGGATGCTTAGAACAAAACTGCCATACTCAGCCAACGGTTCAACCACTAACTTTGCTCGCTAACCTGTAGGCATGCATTTCCATATTTTGCCCACTGCAATACGAAGGTCAACTTTATTCCACAGAGATGAACAGATTCGCACGTAGGATACACCTGATGAAGCAATGCAGCTGCCCGAAGTATCAAGATGGTTTTATCGGAAAATTCATGAACTACCCACAGATTACCGTCCCTAAAGTCAGTTTTTCTCGAACTTTCATAAGGAACAAATCCAGATTAAACCCTATGCGTGAGTAGTCTGACTGCCACCAAACACACCGAACAAAAAGCCAAAGGAGTCTCATCAACCATCAGGTATATCTACCAGTTCACCAATAGTTGTGGTGAACTTTATACCGGTAGAGGGCTTGGGACGTGAGCGACGGAAAGCCTGGCCAAATAAATCTTGGACTATTTCCTGATACGAACACTAATCATGTCTTACCCGGATCGCCAGTTATGAGGTGTGTGGCTGCGACCAGGAATGATAGTGAACTTTACCCACCATTTCAGCTGATTGCCAGTTGCAATGGGCAAGGAAGTTGAAGTTCCCTCCAAACCTCATTGATTAGTGCGCTCAAGAGGATATAAGTATACCATGGCTTTAATTAAGCGAACCAAGATGAGCTTTATTCGAGAATTTTACTGTGAGTTGTAATCTGTTCCCTCGCTTTTTCCACTTTACACGTTTGTGGTCAATGAGTGTCAGCTAACTGGATTCAGTACTTGACTTCACTGCGCTCATCGATCAGCGGAGCATAGCTTGCTAATTGTATCTGTTCACCCAATCAGAAACGTCTAAAATCAATGAATGACGCTAACTTTTGTCAAATATCTCGACATTAGTGTTTCCTACGTTTCAGAATCCACACTTTTCAGTAACCTTCCACTGAGGCTCTTCACATCTAGTCGATTCAAGGGTATGTGAGCCACAATGTTATCCGGACCCAAAAGCGGATATCCTACAGTTTCCCCTTCTAATTAAGATATTACTATTGTGTGTTCTTAACTTGTTTAACAGGGTTGAGTGAGACCCACTCAACCCTCGTACAAGATAACCGAATGGAAGATTCGACCATTAGATCAATTGGCTTAAAACTTTACTGCCATTTATTTCAAAAGCTACAACGGGGCAACTCACAATGTGTCGTATATCTTGTATATGGTATTGGAAACGAGGTCCTAATACGATATTGATAAAAGTAACCCCAAGACAGTTTAAAACCCAATTTCCTTTTGCATTACTCATAAGGATGCTGCATATTCGTCGACAGCCCACGACCGGTTTCGCTCATCAAGTAGGCAAAGTCCCCGTCTACTTGAAACCAAATTGCACGAAATTAGCGAATATACACTCATTTGCAAACTAATTTGTTTTTTTTTCGAGAGACTCACCTGGAACCCAGCTGAATCTCTCGTTTGTGATGTTTCCAGGCAACTGAATGTGCTGCATCAGGCCACCTCATGATTCAGCTGGTACGATATTCGAGATATAGCGATACGTGTATATACTTCTCATGCGGTTGCTGAAAACTCTTCGACAGCCTGGAAACATCACAAACGAGAGATTCAGCTTGGTTCCAGGTGAGTCTCTCGAAAAAAAAACAAATTAGTTTGCAAATGAGTGTATTTCGTTAATTTCCTTGTATTTTTTGTTGCATGGGTCTTAGCATCCACAATTTGACGGAAAACTGCCTTTAATATGGTAAGGGAGTGATTGAATAATGACAAACTCATACAGTCTGCCGATATGTTCTGCACCTCCTTGTCTGCTCCTCATCGGACGCCGTAGAATAAAACCTTTCTTTTTCGGTTACCACAACACCGCGCCCTTTATAGATGCAGCCATAAATGTCACCCGTTGAACTTAACTACTTTCAAGACAGCTCAACTTGGGAGTGAACAAAAGCAAGGATGTTAAATGAGCTCGTTACCAATTGAAATCTGTATGTCGCACCGTATAAAGTCACATTTCTTGACGAAAGTAATGTTGGAGAGGTATAGCCAAACCAAACTTGGCCAGATTACTACAATAGGATTAGTTACCAGACGATTTTCGGTGCCAAAATCGATATCTTTAAATGCGGTCGCACTGGTGCATGATGACGCACTATTCATGGCATTCCACCTGAAGTTACTCCGTGTGATTCAGCTTTGCTTTTTTGAGTCTCATATGCGGTGACTGGACTAAGTGTTGTGTTCTAGGTGTGGCAACATGATATCGTTATGAATAGTTAAAATGTTCTGGGCGCACTTGTGCGCAACTGGTCAGAAAAACAGGCTGCTCAAGAGTAGGTTAGGCTGCTTAAGAGTAGGGCCTAAGTAGCAATTATCTTGGATCAAAACCTCTTCAGGAATGACGTTTTCATTCGAACTCTGTAAATCGCATCTTTTGGTCTTCGCCAGTTTGGCTGTAACAGAGGTGAAGTATTCCTCTGTATGCTGCTGATCTTCTTACGGGCAACGGCCATCCTACAGCCGTCCGAGGTCTTTGCATGGACCACCACTGCATCATATTAGCAATAATATGGTGACTGGAGGTTTACTTGTACGTCAAATATGATATGACAGATCCCGAACCGTCAGAAGGTACGGCCTAGTTGTCGGTTCAGTTGATAGGCAGTTTGACGAACTTACATGCATAGCTGACCACCTCCGCCCAGGAAAACAAACTGATGGACAAAACATTGGTCTAAGAATTCATACCAAAAAATGACAATAAAGTTGGGACCCGGATACAGATTGATCAGTAGCCGTTTGAACTGTTTTCTTTTGTCATTTTTACATTTTTTACTGCAGGTGAATAGACCACGGTTTTCTAGGAGTTATGCCCTCTTCTGGACCAAGGGAAAACTTCGACCAGTGTTTAGTGTACACTCATTGTAGGTTCACTCCCCTTAAATATTCTCTGTTCGCGGCCGCTGTAGATGGACTTCCCGCTATCCAGCTTAATCGACTCTTATTTTGTAGGAATAGGTATTCATTTTCAAAAAAAACTACTGGGTTGAATGCAAATGGGTAAACGTCGGGCCATAGTTCAGCCACATTAAATTTCAAAACGGTCTAACCGATGGTGAACACCAACTGAGAGTCAAATCGTCCTGCTATATTCACATATATATACATATATATATTCATATATTCCTACATATCAACTCTAGCCAGCAGACTACGTGTGACTGATTAGTGCGATGCGTGAGTTGTTAAGCGTAACCTTTACAAATTACTCGACAATCTGCTTCCTGTCCAACAATCAGTAACACAGGGCGGAATCCAGGCTCGTCGACCACGGTTGATTTAAAGAGCAAGTCATACAGAAGATAGGCTAAAGGCAATTCGGTTACATTATCTCTTTTTAGCCAGCTCAGACTGGTGTGAATTAACATAAGATTAACGAAAACTTGGGGACTCCGCCTATATAATGAGCCCCAAGATGGGTGAAACCGGTTGTGGGCTGTCGAAGAGTTTTCAGCAAACTTATGAGTGGTTTTCTTTGTGAAACTAACCTAAAGGTGGTTTGAGACAACGCTATAAATAAAATAACCAGCTGTGCCAATTGTCTACGATCCAGAAAAGGCTGGTTTGATTCCACAGGGACAGTAAAATAGTTGTTCCTGTTACAAAAGGCTCCAATCATTACGTCACTCTTGATTAAGGTACCATCGCCTTTTGTCATCTGTGGGCCTTTGCAAAAGGTATTTCTATCATACCGAGGTGGATTCGTTTGGATCATACACATCACATGACCCAGTGAGCGTTATCGTGACGGTGTTGTACTGACAGCAGTTGAATAGATTCAAGACGAAATATTGACTGGGAAGTGCGTTAATATTCGTTTCCTTTTGTCCATCACCAATACACCATCCTTACTATGACTTCAAGAAAAGATTGTAAACGGGCATTGACAAACGTCATCCACTTAGTGAGTCCACGAACAGAGAGGGGCTGAGCGAATGGCATCAGAATATGTCTCAAGCCACAACGTCGTGTCACCTGACATTTGGTGGTGGCAGAATGATGGTGTGGTTGACACACCACATGAAGAAAACGCGTATCTTTCGACTGAAGGCTGCATACAGGTCCTCAACGAAAATCCTTCAGAAGCAAACAAGAGCGGGATATTTGTTTTTATGTCAGACAACACCCAGATTAAGACAAATAAACGGGGGAGAACAGAGCTTCTTGATGCAACACACCAAACTAACGGTGAGATCTTGAAATGTAAGAGCAATATTTTTTAAGATTTTCGGAAACACGACTGAAAAAGTTCCCTAGATGAGTTAGTTATTTCCACGCTTTACCCAAATATGTCTACCAGTCTTATGAACACTGACGATCTTCGCATAAGGAAAGCCAAACACATCAGGTCTACAAGGAGTTGCGATTCATTTATGTTAGTGATAGCCGGAAACGGTAGAAGGGCATCAAAAACTTAAAGGCGTGTGTAATATATTTTTTGATGACTGTACTTAGTGTGGGGCAACTGCTCAAGTCTGCAGACAACCAGATATCGGGTTCACACTACTTGGGGTTTATCGGACGGGTGTAGTCCGCTGAATCTGAGACAATCAATTTCCCACTTAAACAGCAGTTTAGACGAGCGTTTACTTTGAGCTCATATGTGTTTTGAAATTGTCAGGACTGGAGAACTGATGGAGTCCCGTGTGGTCAATAGCATGATGACAGCATACAGGATGCCTCGTCGCGACCATGCCTACTTGATAAGCCACGAACTAAGTGAAACCGTCAGTGGGCCACCTGAAGATTTTCCGCAATTTTTACATGCCACTTATGTCAAGAAGAAGAAACGTGATTGAATAATTTTGCAAAGGAGGCTCAAGGCCGTCTGTGTGGCGTACATTATGTGGAAAAATATCGATATACTACGGAGTGCCAGGGAACCTGTCGAATCTCCAGTTCCAACAATTTCGGCATGTGTATGAGCTCAAAAGTGAACAGACATAACATGCTTGTGGAACGCTGGCCAGTAGGAAAGTTCGGTAGACGTCTTTGTACCTGTTACTTTGATAACGACAGATATTGCACTAGTAGCACATAAACCGTAAGATGTCAACGAATCAGAAGTATTTCGTCGATTAGTTGGTCGTATGGGACACTCATCGGACATAGCCATAACAAAGTCGGGGAATGCTTACAGCATTTGACAAGATGAACAAAGGCAAACGAAATGCCTTAAAGTCAAACTATGTTTTGTTGTGAAAGAGCACAGTTTTCAATGCACTGACCTTGCAATCGCTTACTGTTGCTTTTTTCGAAAGAAGGGCGCAATGGAACCAAGTTCTTTTTGAAGACTGTTTGCCTCGGACCCTGAAGACGCTATCCGCCGAGTGTTGAACCCTAACTGGGACTCCTCAGATGGAGGTAGAGGACAGTCACCAATAACTACTGCCCTCGAACTGCTGTAGTTTTTGTTTCGTTCCATATCTGCTATTGCGTTTTTTGTACAAATCATATTCCTGTCGTATGGTTTGACTATCAGTTCCGAGACAAAAGGAAGCAGCATTCGTCTGACCCTCAACGGGAATCATGAAGAAAAGCGTTCGGTTGGTCAGAAAGTCGAGCTTCGCCAAGATTTTGTTGTTTAGGGTAAACAGACTAATCATTTCAGTTTGTATGCCACGCGCCCAAATGAGATACAATTTTGCGAGTAACACTGAAAGATGTCAAACAGACGATGATTCTAGTTAGTTCACAGCGTAGAGGAAGCAACTTCCACACTCCTCACGAAAAATACCTCAGCAGCAGTTGAAGCAAACTGGAAATCCATACATACGTTGTTCAAAGAGAAACCTTCATGAACGAAGAGATTAAGGCGAGACAAGTTTCAAGAGTTATGACAAGAAGACAGAATAATTGAGGCGACCCGATTTTTCGACACTGATGACATCATTGTCACTGCGGACACTGGTCGATCGATGAGGACGGTCTCCAAAAGTGCGACGGTCTAACCCACTTAGACCAGAAGATCGCATTCTACTACCTGAGGTGGAAGATTTCGTTGGGGCTTGTGGTCGATTAATGGAGAAAGTCCTCACAACTCACGGTAGGTAGGCGTAAAGGACGATTTTCGAATGTAACTCGATGTGAAGACATGTCAGGAGTTTATGGTTAACCTCAAGCCTAGCTCGAGTCCTTAAATAAATTCAAGCATCAATTCACAAAGAAGTCCGCACATCAAACTGATAAGTGGATGTTCCGCTAGTCCTCACTTCAAGAAATAAATATTTGACAACAGCTACGCGTAACCGTAGCAGACTCTTGGTCAAACTTCCTCAAATTCTTCAACTAGTATTGCCAGGGTAACATGCGGCTTCTGTATGAACAAGGTTTAATCAAGAAACCGATGAAGTTCACTAATGCAAGTTCACAGATTAGCTATCGATTTTAGTGTCAACGCATGCGCGACAAAACCTTATACCTGTGACATACAAACACCTTGGGGAACTTGCTCAGCAAAACACAAATACACACAGGAGATTCGACCTAGTCTCTTTAATTTTTTATTGTTGCTGATAATGTTTATCACAGTGACAATTCCCTTGGTGCGTGTGTGTCGACTTCGCAGACTGGCGAGGTGGTTGAACATTTCAAGTAAGCCTGGAATCTGCTTTATACATGCTAACGGACTGTTGAGTATCGGATGCGCCTTACTACCTTAGAGTGGTTATTGTACTGTACCTGTAAGGCGGCTACATACCACACTGTGCATTGTGGAGTAATATTCGAGGATAACACTTGGTAGTTGTGCCTCCACACAACTTTTATTCGATAAAAGCCACACCAGCGCCCACGAGAAGTCACATTACTGTTCGGCAAGTCAGATGCAGCCTGTGAGTCAACCTGACTTTGAGGATCAGATAACCTGGTACAACATAATTCTTGTTCAGAGGTAGTTGATGCAGCTTGTGTCCGTACGACATAGGTGCATTGGTTATCCTTGGTCCGAGGCTCACTCGCCAATGATAGTGTTAGTGACTGATTACTTTCCACAAGCGCTTTAACGGGTGAGTTGGGCGTAACTTGAAAATAAATCGAATTTCACTGGTAGTATAGACATATGAGAACTACTCCTAGTTAAGATGAAAGGAGGAAATTTTAGGTTTTCTGGGAGATATAGAGCATGGAAAGAGCTTGGGATAGTTCGGGACTTAAGAGGTCCATCGTTCGAACTCATGGTTCCCGGTTTTCTTTATTTCTGCCGTATAGAATCATGAAACTCAGTGGCATCTCAATACCATGGCCTCTTCGAGTTACATGACAGTTAAGTGGCGATTTGAGACCGTAAAATACATATCTCTAGTAAATCTAATCCGTACTGTGGCTACGATGCCTTCTAAAGTGACGCCATGCTAAGCAACCTATCAAAGTGAAGCAATTCACATCTTCTGGGTCGGGAGACCCCGAGAAAAGTTCATGTTGGAAGTTATAAACTAACAACACTTTTTTAGGCAAGATCAGTTTAATATTTCTTACAAATCATTTGTTAGATTGTTATAAAACTTACTCAGATGTATCAGATTCTTGCATTGGAATCCGTTAAATGATAGGCTGATGTCTTTACAGGAAACGGTGAAAAACTGATTTAACCAGAAAACCATGCACCAACTGAACCAAACCCGTTTGTGTAGTAAAACAACTTTGATCGAATATGGGGCGAAATGTGCATACCAGAGAAAGCAGCTGCGGTAAGTACTATTGCGTGTAAAGTGCTTTGTGCCATATAAACATATTCCAATTTTTCAAGACCAACCAAGTTCTAAATAACTGACCCTAGGTGACACTCGGCGAATTCGATAAAACAATCTTGGTTGTATAAAGGAAACTACTCACAAGGTTGTTGAAAACTCTTCGACAACCCACCGACAGAAACATCAGGTGGCATTTGTGCGGCGCATTCAGTTGAAGAATATCATAAACGATAGATTCATTTGAGTCTCCCTTGAAAGCCAAATTGATTTACGAATGAGTGTATTTGTCTAAATCTTGGTTTTACTTCAAGTTGGTTGATCCTGCCACAACCCAGAAGTTCTTCCCTTGTGAGTAGATCAGTAAAACTCAGGATAGGAATGGAGCAAAGACGGCTACAAAAGATTTAGGTCGGGTGTCTGTCTTTCCACCCCAATTATGGAAAAGGGTGATTCCACTTGTTCGGAGAGTCCGTTCCTACTCTACACCTTAAAAACACCCCCCGACAACTCAAAATCTAAAAGTATATGCCCCAGAAAGAGTAAAACTTAGCCACAGTTAACATCGAGCCGCATGCCAGAATATGCAAATGAGCACTTTCCTACTGAAAAGAATATTGGGATAAGAACACTCACATACAACGGCAACAAGAAACGAATCGATCAACTAAGAGTGGCAGATCCACCTTAAGCAGGAAAGCAGTTGTTATTTCAGGCAACAGAATTAAGGATGAGTAGCCGAAACTGCCGACTGCGGCTCAGTCGCACACAGTCCACTATAGAATTTTCGCTGTGGAAACCTCTTGGTGCGGTGTAGGCTGTTTGCGTTTTCAGATATTTCACACCATCAGCTGTCTAATGAGACTAGCTAAGTGAACGCCCGAACAAAGCCCAAAACTTCATTTAAAAAGATCTCGGTCGCAAAAAGACTAGTTCATAAGAGAAACTACTCACAAGGTTGCTGAAAACTCTTCGACAGCCCACGACCGGTTTCGCCCTTCTTGGGGCTCATCAGGTGGGCGCAGTCCCCGAGTTTCCGTCAGCCTTGCGTTCTACTTGAACCCAAATAGGACCGTTTTCGAGAAATACACTCATTTGCAAATCAATTTGGTTTTCACGAAAGACTCAATTGAATCTCTTGTTTATGATATAAGTAGTTTACTTTGTGAAAACCTACTACGATATCTCGAATATCGTGCCAACTGAAACATGAGGTGTTATAGACGAGAAATTCAGTTGAGTCTCTCGTGAAGAACAAATCGATTTGCAAATGAGTGTATTTCTCGAAAACAATCCAATTTGGGTTCAAGTAGAACATAAGTTTGACGGAAACTCGGGGACTGCGCCCACCTGATGAGCCCCAAGAAGGGCGAAACCGGTCGTGGGCTGTCGAAGAGTTTTCAGCAACCTTGTGAGTAGTTTCTCTTATGAAAATATACTGCGATATCTCGAATATCGTGCCGACTGAAACCTTTGTGTGGCATTCAGTTGGAGAATATCATAAACGAGAGATTCAGTTGAGTCCCTCGTGAAAACCAAAGTGATTTGCAAATGAGTGTATTTCTCGAGATCAGATAGTTTGGTTGTTTCGTCCAGGAAAACTTGCACCAGTTCGTCAAGCACCCAAATGACGTAATCCTGTACGGTAATGTCCAACACGATTTCTCGGGTGTTTGGCTGCATAAGATCATTCGGTTATCGGAACTATGGTTCGCACTTTTTCTGGACATTACTTCTAATTTCTGACTGCTATGGTCGCTACTGCTTATGATGACGATAGTGCGCATCAGCGTCCCACCGAGGACAAAGCTGTAATCTACATTGTCAACTTTCGATCTCGGTGTTTTTAGCTTTTCGTGATTTGGTGATGGCGCTTCCAATTAGGCACAACAACGTACAAGCGATTCGATAACTAAATCCAGGCTGGGCGCATGCGAACATACGGATACTGTAGACGTTATCCTTATGTCCCGAATACGGGAAAGTGAGGGGAATTGCAATACTTCATCAATCTGAATGGTACACACCAAACCCTTGTTCGCTTTCGGACGGAGCACACGGATGCTTCAATTTTCAACCTATCTGGGCAAACTTCTCTCTTCTCAAGAGGTTTTCCCGCGGGTACTTAACAATTGCGGGAGAAAGTTAAACTCCTAGTAAGATTTCATTTTTCCGTGAAAAAGTTTTTCCTGAGGAAGCATTTGCACCAAACTTGCTGGTAGTCTTACTTTAGCAGGGCCGGCTATTTTACCACACATACTCCTTTGTATCGAGTTTCTAATGGCCTGGGTGGTTATTTATCGCCTCACCCTCAAGTTGAAGATTCCAACCAGAAAGCCACCGAGGAAAATTCTGTATCACGCTGCATATCGCATTGTACCATGGACCTGAAAGCGATCAAAATTGAGCTACAGACTTTGGACCGAGTCCTTTCTCTACAGCCATCCGGAATGCGCATCTTACGAATGTCTCTAAGGGATTCGAACCAGCAACCTTTAGCATAGAAGTTACACGTGACCAGTCAGCAGTGCCATCACCTCTCACTCAACGGAACATAGACTGCACCATTTCTTCATTAATCATAAAGCGTTCAGCTGTAGCACCCTTTTGGTGCCTAGCTGCCATGCCACCCGAAGGAAGCACGAGGGCTGGGATACTGCCAGGTTGCCCAAGCCTAGACAGGAGAAGTCGAGTGGCGGAGGTCGGATTCGAACCACGGACCTTCCGGTCAGTAAATTCGCGCTCTGACCACTTGGGCCATCTCGCCCCCATTAATCATAAACGCACCAGTGTTTTGTAAAATTTCCGTGGTTCCTGAAGACTCCGTCGGAGAACAAGGATGACTAATAGACAGTGTTCTGAGCATTCTGTGGAAAGTGAAATCCTGAACAGCTTTTGCCAGGCTGTAGTGAAATTATCTATTTCGATTGTACCTGCTCATCAAATTGATATTCATATACATCCGTAGCTCATCAACGAAGCTGCCCTGAATAAAAGTCGTCAGCGTGGGGGCCAATTCAGGCAGGCTTTTCATCCCCTTAAATTTAACGGGAACGGTAAAACATAGTGTTTCACATAGAAAATATATTCCAAGGTGAGAACAACACACATAATTATCGGAAATTCGATGATAATCACGTGTCCCTTATTCTCACGTAGCCTCGGGTCATCTTAATGATCCGTAGGAATTGTGTACTGGACTTCGGACGCGTGGCCCACGTTGGATTGTCGAGTAGGCCAAAGAGAGCTAAGATGACAGAGCTGGCAGAGGTACAATGTAGTAGCAGGGTTGGTGGAACTAAGCGACTGGTACACATGGGCCAATGCCGAGGTTAACTTTTCCTGTACGATTACAGCGTTATCACCACTATCATAGACAGCAATGTAGTGGTGTTAACTACCGGTAATTGTCTGCCATGTACCCACGAGTCAAGCGGAGAGAGAGACGGGAAGCGTAAATATTAGTCTGAAATCTATTTCCTAAGTCTCCCCCGGAGCAGTGCCTAGACCTCTGATCAGCGTCCAACTAAACATTTTGGTAATCAGTTGGAATGAGGGGACACCAACGGGATTGACCAGCGTCCTCATAAAACAAGAATCCAATATGTAGTGACAAACAGGTTTTAATGCGGCAGCCCGGCTAAGTGTCTGAATATTTTCTACTAGGATCGGTTACATGCCACACTTTCAAACCAGATACCGTGTAACGGTGATACTACTGATGGGGAGGCACGCGAGCAGTAGGTACTGTTCGTGGAATTTCGCTTTGCGTCTTTTGAAAAGGGGAGATCTGTTGCGGAATTTATGGAGTCGCTTTGTAACATCTGCTTGGATTTGAGCGATGAATAATTGGAGTCAATGAATATTCAGGAAAGTTCATGAAGACCCGTTCAGGAGAAGATGAACGTCCAGTTTTTGTAAATAAGATGCAAATGAGAGTTTTGCTTCCCTGTCCAATGGTATGTAACCGGTCAGTTGGCATTTACTAATAAATGACTCTGCAGTGAAGGCCTTCTTCCTTTCACCAGTAGCCTCAATGGATCCCAGTTAGGCAAGCGCAAAGATCTCATCACCTGAGATCGTGAGGGAGAATACGGAGAGCAACAGTACTTGTAGTTAGACAGTGATTGGGAATCACTAGCGTATATCACAACCGTACATAACCTGCTAAGCTTTTCTGCCTTTTATCACTAGGGCGTTGCCTACGCAATCATTTCAGCATTAGGCTGTTATGCTATGAGGGCATTCGTGAACAACCGTTTGAAGACAGTTAAGGCGTTCGGCGGATCGCTTCCTCGGAGAAAGTGGTAGTGGATTCCGTCGGCGATAAAATTGTAGGGAAGGGGGAGGAACATTTCAACCCACAACATTCAGTTCAACTGCTTATTTACAACCATCTTTCTTCTATCTGTATCTGATTCCAAGATAGAATACATGTAGCCGGGTGTGGTTTACAGAAATATAGTCTAGTTTCCAACTTTCCTTGACTGAGACAACGTTATCTGGAATCGGAGCTGACTGGATCACCAAGTTTGTATAGAGGTCAGGATGTTTTATACAAACGTGTTGAGGTAGGATTAAAGGATGAATTAACTAAACCCGAAGCAACCTGTCAATCCGAGGTAATACACTCTGGAACGATCACATGGTAAGCTTCTCGTCATTTTAAAGCTCCTTTCTTAGAATTCCTGCAACCAAATGCGGAACCAAGCCAGTGGTTTACGATAATGCCCAAAAAGTTAATTCCGCAGACTTCAACACAACAGAGGACAAGAAGCGGGAATTCAAATCGTGAAACTGAAAGTGTTCATCTATGCTGTACTAGTACGAAATCGCTCGAGCTCTCAATAATGGATGAAATCACGGCCGGTCGATGCTGACCACAAAATTCAGAATTAGAGCAGCGCAAACTGCGAGTTAAGGCAAAATCTTCAACACAGTTTAGCTTGTTTTGACTACTTGATCTGATACTCATCCTGAAACCTAGCTTTTAGACAGTGGTCAAAAGCCGGGTTGATGAGCATCGCGGTTGGCTGTGTTGACGGTGTCAGCCGGGGTCAGGGTAGCTAGTAGGTCGGAAAGCGTTAACGGCTAGACAAGAAGTTCGGAATCAGTCGATAGATGTTATCGTTGGCGGCTTGACCATAAACGTGCATTCACCTTCGTTCAAATACTAGGGCACGTGCCTGGGCTGGATACAGAGCTGAAAAGTTGTCTACTCACAAACAGTCAGTAGACACGACACGCAATCAATTGTTGTGACAAAACTGGGTAGTGCAGAAAGTACCGTTTTTTATGTGGCCCTCTATTTTTTTTTAAAGAAAGCCTTTCCTTTCATTTACTGAGTTCGTAAGTTGTATAGGCCCAGTCAGTTCATCAATGATCAGAACATCACCGTGGTATCTGCAGGAAAGGGCAGTTTTCCGCCTTTGTTCAGAGGTAAACATCAGGATCCTCCACAGAGAAATATCACGTAAGTACAATAGTTCCGGTTAACAAGTGACCAGAAGGAATTTAACCTCTGTAAAAAGATCACCCACTATTCTGGAGCCGTCTAGTTTATTCTCAGCTATACCTACCATTGACTTGTGCAAATATTTGATTTCTCCAATCGAACATCAAGGGAAAATACAAGTGGTCGTCAAACAGGAGGGTCAAAGCAAAATTGTTCAACGGGCGTGTCATCCAAAAACTCTTTACAGTCACACTAGGCGCAGTGGTAAGCTCACCATAGGGCACACGCGAACTAACGACACACCACTTTGGAATATTGAACTGATATGTCAGTCTGAATTGTCAAATTATTCCACAGGACTTTTATTGTCAGTTTACTCCTCTCCTAAATGAATAGATAATACGAAAGACAATCGTTTAACTGCAGCACCCTTTCAGTGTCTAGATGACATGCCAACGCAAGAAGGCGCGAGGGCTCGGAACCTGTCAGGTTACCCAAGCCTAGACAGGATCAGTCGAGTTGCTGACGTTGGGTCCGAATCACGGACCTTCCGGTCCGTAAGCTGGCGCCTTAAAGACTGAGCCTTCTTCTGTCAGTTGTTGTCTTAACTAAGGATGTGCCTTATGGCGAGCACTTCGCCGCAGCAACACTAGACACACTAGACCGACCCAGACAATGGCTAGGAGTGAGCCACTGCGTGGTCACGCTATGTGTGATAGAATTTCCTGCTGGGGTAAGGTTTTGTGTACCACTAGATGCTAGGTTTTCACCGCTTACAATACGACCGAGGATCCACATGGGTAACAGAGAGAATAAGCGCACTAAACAGATAACGGGAAAAGTTAATGTAGTTACGGAAGAGCATGCGTTTCAAATTTGGACAGCATCACAAGGAAGTGCTCTAAATAGGAAAGCATATAGATACAGTGAGCAGCTGATGCAGAAATGCGACAAAACTTCGGGCAGGTGTTAAGCGTGGAAACAGACTCAGATAGTTCAATATACAAGTGGAATGTGGCATCCACTAATTCATTGAATGAAGATAGATCAAATGGCTGTTTCTCTCGTTGTTGAGCTTGGAAGTTGGCTTGCAAATGTCTCATTACCAATCAAGAAGACATTATCAGGCACCGAAATCACTCAACCGCGCACTGGCAATGAAATGTTCGTAAGCTAAATACCAAGCTAGGCGAACAGATCAACACCTACCTGGTCAATTAATGGTAAATGTAACTGGGCTACCAACTCCACCTTATTCGTTGAATGATGTTGGGTCTGGGCAACCGGAATCAGCTTTCCACTCAACGCAAATACCGTCGTGCCAGTTTGAAGCTCTGAGTTTTTAAGCGAACTGACTAGACAGTCTCAGTCATGCCACTAACTCTTCTTCAGTGCAATAATAATATAGTTTAAATAGAAAGTTAGCTGGATTCCCGACCTACAAGCTTCATGTGCATTGTACTGCAAGGGAAATGGGGCATATGCAAGCTAAGAGGATGGAGGGGCAGGTTAGGGGTATTAGTACAGTACTGTCCAGGTGCTCAACCAGAACTATCAGTGTCAAACTGGGACAGCAGTAACGTGGTAGTGGGTATAGACGGGAACAGGTGGATCCGATCACTTGTTCAATCATGCACTCACCATGATTGAAAGCACTGGGTTTGCAATAACGTGGTTCTACCAGAACGTGACCTACTAATCAAACAGGGGTGTGCGTATAGGAAGAACAGGTTTTCTGTGTTCAAAAGCAGGTCACTATGCACCAGGTATGCTTGCATAATCGGTCTCACGAGCACCAATGTATTGCACAAACCACAGAAGCCAAATTATGGTTCATCATATTGTATCAAAGCACTTGACGGAACAGGGTGGCAAAAGAATGCGATTCCTATACAGAAAACACATCCTAGCGGAATGTTGGGAACATATGGAAGGAACAAAAAATATTGACAAGCATCCGCGCTCAGTTTTGCTAGGTACAGTGTACATTGTCCGAACGGACGTTTGCTTCGAATTTAGAGGAACAAAAGGTCCTCCAGAGAGTCGTTTTTCTTCGAAACGGATGGGCGTACTGTAAGAAAACTAACAAAGGCTTGAAATCTTCAAACTATCCATGGGCGGAGACTAGAGATTGCGGCGATCCACGACAGGGCGGAATTACGTCACCAAGTTCGGAAAAATTTTCAAACCTGCAGCTCGTTCTACTGTGGATAGGGGGACCTGAAACTGTTTGAGGTTGGCTTTTTCTGGAAGTCGCATATTCGGCATCACCCAGGCAACGGCACGCCAGCCACCATCAGGTGTTTCTTGAATGGCCACAGCCTTGAAAAAATGGGTAGGAACGGCAACATCGTTTGGTCCAATGACTTCGTAGGTCACACAACGTTTACCGCCTTCCGTACTAGAAGAACAGATAGATACGAAGGAAGGAGCATAATTTATGCTCTGACATTAAAAATCGACCTCACAGCGTTCCGAAAATAACCCATTCCCCCCCTTCGAGAAACTAAGGGACTAGCTGAAGCCCCCTCCAAACTAGTGCAAGCGATACTCGAATGTGAAACGCTCAATTTATTTCAAGAATTCGAATAACGATATCAGAAGAAAACCAGTCCTGTGGAATGGCACCACCTTACAAGACTTATAGATCGCAAACGTGTGACGCGTGCAACACAGACGGACATACATGCTACTGAAAATTCGAAATTCAAAAACGAGGGGAAGATGACTACACGTTCTACAACCACTACGACCAGAGCAAGCATAACGTCACAGTTAAGTCCCTTTGAACGTACAGACTCGGATTTGCCCGGCTTGATTACGACATCAAAGAAAGTCAACAAGGGATGATCATTTTATAGAGTTGGTATCAGTGACGTAATCAGAGCGCACTAGGAGTCTCACGACAGACTAAAGCTTCCTTGTTTCAGTTTGTCCGGCTGACCTAAGTAAAATTGACTGAAGAATATCCATTTTCACGCAATCCAAGCCTGCCTTCAGCTCTGTCGATATACCCTTCACAGAAACAGCAGCTGATCGGTGGCAAAAGCATGTATCTCGCTTGCAACAATCATAATTGTGCAGCGTGATAAATTCACTCGAGTGCTGAATTTACTCCAACGAGATATTTCGTCTCCAACATAGTAAAACTCGACCCGAAGCTGCCAGCCTGACGTGGTGTTCAGGAGTGAATATTACGCTGGCTGGAACTTCGTCCCACAAGGTGCAGCCATGCCAGGAAGGCCAGATGGGAGCAACTAGAACAAAAGCAGCGAGACCCCGCACTATCACCAGGCAATGAGTACGATTGCGCACGCATATCCCTCAAATGAGGGACAAAAACGAGGAAAAGGATTTTTATGAAGGGAATGCCACTTATAAGGTTGCTGAAGACTCTCCGACAGCAACGACCAATTCCGCTCTTTTTTGGACTCATCAGATAGCCGTCACCCTTGCGTTCTAGCTAAACCCAAATTGGATGCAATTCGCGAAATACACTCACTTGCATGCTGATCTGGTTTCAACGGGATACTCAATGGAATTCTAGCTGAATGTCGTTTATGTGCTGCACAAAGGCCACCTCATAGCATAAACGAGAGATTCATTTGGGAATCAGTTGAGTCTCCTGTTAAAACCAAATTAGCACAAATGAGTGCAATTCCCTAAAGTCGCAAGTAGAAACAACTGGAACAAGACGGGGGAAGACAGAACAAACCGTGGGAGGAACAGCGGTCCAGTGACGACCACCACATTGTGTGCTTTGCGGGCGATAGATCGGACATATTTTTCCAAATCGTTCCACGCATGTCGATTGAAACCATGTCCTACCTGAACGGGTGGAGGGAGAAAACCACAACCGTCGCTGAACTTGTGCAAGTGCATGTGGAAGTTCGAGATGAGCACTAAATATAAGATAGAAAAACCAGCTGGAATATTTGATGAAGTCCAACGTTTAGGCAACAAACAGTGACCTAGAGATTGTGCACCCCTCGATCCAAATTTCTGATGTTGACGCGGCGTGTATTATGATTAGGTCAGTATACTGACCGAACTACTCACAAGTAGGCAGAATTAAATGAATTGAAGCAACATGGCTCAGTGGAGGTGGCCAGTCTGACAAAATTGGGTGGGGGGGCCATCGCTGGGCAGCGTAGGAAATCACAAATACTAGATACCTCCCGACTCGATTTAACTTTTAGTGTTCATATAATGACCATCCTGCTATGGAGGTCGTTGTTATGGTGAATAAATAGTTAAATCCCAACTAAGATAAAAAAAAATTCCAAAGCTGCATTAACCGAAATCCATTGTTAAAAAAGCCGAAAGCACCGATACTTGGGGGGGGGGGACGATCTGCCAAATGTCAGAATGGGGGATACCCTCGGCTTCTTTGAATGACGTTGAATGTGACAGGGTAAACAATCTACAACTGCTGACAGATGACAGGCAAAAGCCCTTCCGCCTCGGAAACCACGGTTGTGCAGGATTCCAGTAAATAGTCGGAAATAGTGGTGGGTATAGGCAGCGAGTGCCAGTGACGCGCAGCGAATCGGTGTGAATAAGTTTCACTCAACAGATTAGAAACCACTAGAATATCAAGAAAAAATGAACGCAGAAATCGAAGAACACCCTAGGCACAAGGATTTATGGTGCAGTTCAGAATTCATATCCAAAAGTATGACGCCAAGTGTAGCGTATGAGAACCAGTGAAGTCACGGAGAACAGGGCAATTTCCTCCCTTCACTAGCAGGGTGGACAACGTTCGGTAGCCGTTGAGAGATTCTATGCGGAAACGAAAAATGAAGTGTTTTCCCTCCATTATGCAACCTCACAATCCGGATGTTCTATATTTCAGGTTTCTAATGAGGGACATGATGAAAGGAGTGCGTAGTGCAAGTGCTGTTTAGAGTGACATTTGAGTAAAGCTATTGAAACCTAGTGACCCAGTTGTATGATCTGTGCTTTTAATGCCGGTGAATTTTGTTTCTGTAGCGAGTCATTCAGTTGCTGATCAACTTTGTTCATACGGATAATCAACAGTCGGGGGTTTTTTCGTGTCATTTAACACAGGACCCTATCGCGTTGTTTCCGAGTGGAGATTAGTTATCAACCCTTGCATTTCATCATGTAGACGCCAAGATTTCTGCGTCCATTGGGTCTTGAACGAACATCCATGGAGGGGAAACGATGTAATGTGGTGACGGTGGATCCGTATTACCACCAGGGCACTCAGATATTTAGTGAGTTTCCATTGTTTTGGATTCTGACGAGAACAGGTGAGGGCTCATCCAAATAGGAGTCACTCCATACGAGAGTCCACAACAAGCGTTCTCTTTCAGAATTCTATAAGGTCTCTCACCTCTAGAGAGAACACTCCCAAGTTCATGGATAAGTCACGGTTTTGTTTCCCTGTGAGTGACTTCGCGTCGTACGGAAGGTTGTGGACCGAAGTCAACGCTGTGAGTACTAAGACGAATCTGGGTGTGGTAACATGGGGACTCCATGTATGGGCAAAATGGTGGCCATATTGTGTAAATGGAACCGAAACTTGCTCAAATAATGTCTGCTTAATAAGGACTATCGTTCGTTAGGCATCAAACGCGTGGAGTAGTCCGGTTATTTCGGGTTGAACGTTTCATCTAATTGCCTTGATAATAAAGGACAGGAGCTCGGTTTTCACCAGATCACCAAACACCAACTTCTGATAGACTAGTTGTCAAGCTAACGTGTTGAGCAGCTTCGCGTTACGTGTGCACTAAATATGTGAGAGGAAGGCGTAAAAACCCTGATAAAATGCGTGAAAACAAGCTTAAGCATGGCTTTATGCAAATAGATATCGCATATTAAAAGTAATATGCTTGATTCGTGATCGGTTAACGGAGACCTGCAGTATCTGATGACGTAGCAAGCCTACGAAGGCTGCTAATAGCCTACCTACCTATCCGGTTGTTCGACTGACAATCAGCCGCGATGCGCGTCAGATCTATCCAAGCCTGCACGCTAGTCACTCCACTGATTATCTCACTGGAGATTCAGACACCATCCATGGAAGGCAAAAATCTCCCAGGTTGTCAGTGGAAAGTTGCGTTACAATAAGGCTCTCCACTTTAAGCAGAATAAAACGGGATTATTTTTACTTCTAGTTGGAGGTCCTCACACCATATGTATGCACATATTCATACATGTGCTCATCTTTTCTTTTGCGGTGCTGCGTGATGAAGGTTATCTCAAGTGATCAGAGAACAAGTAAAATGCGGCAAAGAATGAGTTTGAGGGTGCCAGCTAAAGCACAGGTAACATTCAAACTGACCGAAACCTGACTGATGAAGCATAAGTACAGTCGTCAGATCAAAATCACAAACGTACGACAGAAAACATCGCTTCTGAGACGACCACCCGCAGTCACTCAAGAATGCATGGAAGTCCGTATCAACGATATGCGCCTGTTTATTCCTCATTTTCCCAAATCCGAGTATCTGTACCATGGTCGGGAAGAATCACACGAATGAACGGTGCTCCAGTAAATCTTCATTCCCCAGCTGATTATTTCGGGGATTTTTTATTCGATGCTTCCCTGTTAGGCAGAATTCCACACGGATCCCGCTTTACCGCTCAGGTGCTGCTACGGCCGAAAAGTCCGTCCCACGCAAGATTGGCCATAAACTCGGGACGCATGCCGGTCCGGCATCAAGCCGAGATCTGATTGGTCGGAAGTCTGGACCTAACAGCCAATCATGACCCGGTACTGGCCAAATGCCGGTTGCCAATGGCGCTTCCAGAACGCGTCAGAATAAAGCGCTGTACAAGGGTTCCTGATTTCGTTTTGGGCGTTAATATACCTTGTGTACCATTGGTGGTTGTTTTGACGTGAACGCTAGTTTGGGAGACTCAGACCGAAACTTCGTAAAGTAACTCGTCAAGAACGACGCTACATACTTTCATCAGTATTATTTTTCATCGCTCACACCAAGGTTGTGCTTACGAACAAGAAGCTCTGAGTTGAATCCTGCTTTTTTCACGCTAATCAACAACGTAGTGTTTTCACTAAGCAGCGGCTTTTAGTATGTTCCTTTAGAGTGCTCTCAAACCCACTCAAAAACCCTAAAATCCATTGTATGATCTGTACTTTTCTCGGTGCGAACAGCCTTTAAACTATGAGCCCTTGAACTCCACTGACAAATCACATGCACCTGGTTTTCAACAACAGTGTGCCCCGAATCGCACTGCTGTTAAGCTGCTGATCAACTGATTTGATTTTCCCTACTGTGACCGAACGTAGCACTCCGAAAGCGAAAGTAAAAGTGTACTCATTTGCACTGTTGAGGGGCTCGGAGGCCAGATCAGTGACAGGTCAGTGACAAACGTGAATGTAGTTAACAATTTCACCATCAAACATAGTGATACAGTGCAAATGGTTTAGGACTTAAAGAACTATAGGGTCGATCAACGGGCATAATGGATACGGATCGATAGGTGAACTAAAAACAGGGTAACTCCACGTTTGGCGAAGGTTACTGGACAGACGTATTTGTGCACCAAATCAACCATGTGAGTTAGCACGCTGGGCATATGAGAAAAAAGTCCGCCAACAACAATTTGCCTGATTTCTTCCCAAATGAGCGGTCAGAAGACGTATTTTAGCATAAGACAAGATGAGAATTTTCAACCCGGATGAAAATACTGTGCATTGCTGTGAAACATCTCTGTTGGAGGCGGGATGCCCTATCGAAATGCCAATAATCTTGGAAACGAACAATTTCGTTCCTTTCCTGAGCATTCACTCCTAGGAGGTACTCCAAACGTCTCAGCAATGTGCTGTTACTGTGTGGAAAATGGTTTGTGCATTGATAATTGCTTTAGAACTGCATGAGCTATCACGGCAAATCATATAATGATGGGAAAGAGAAAATACGGAAGATGAGTTTATACTGACCTGTGGAGCAATGTTACTTAAAATGAAAGTCTGAGACATGGCCGAACGTTCGAAGCGATGATTGCCAGCGGCCGCCATGTGGCCACGATCATAACCAGAGCCGAGGTAGTCCTTGTTTGATACCCGAAACATTTCCAGTTCACTGAGATCTTCGTAAAAGTCAAACTGCTTCCTCCACAAAAAAGACGAGAACACAAAGCGGTTTGGGATATATGGGAAGGGATAAACGGAACGTTGGACAGAACTGTAGGTATTCAAGGTATTCAAACAAGCAAACCATTTGTAATGTTATTTGATTCGGTGCCTAGTATGGTAGCCAGGAAACAGGCTTGAGTAATTCCTTCGCTGGTCAGTATACTGGTCGGCTGAGTCAATCTCGTTACACCGTCCAACATTACTTGCCGAAAACCGGAGACCGTTCAAACACGGATGCGCGCTTGGAGGTGGGTTGCACGCTAGGATGGGGATCGAGAAGGATAGCTGAAGTTTCAAAGATGGTCTGCTGCAAACTGATCACACCAGACACGGTCGGTTGATTTTGGACATACTAATTCAAGGCTATCGTATGTCTACACGGAACGTCCCAACTCAGATTACTGTGTAGTCTGCCATCACACTACACATGTCGAGTTGAGATCATATTTTGTTAGTCGTCAGGGCATACTTATGGGGCTGTATTCACAGATCCACCAAGCAATGATACAGACCAAACTCAGATATCCAGAAACCCTAGCTATCTCGATGGCCAAACTGACTGACCATCTCCAGAGTTTCTTTCCCAAGACATTCAACTATAAAGTTATCGTGCATGAGTGTCTGTTTGATATGACACCAGCAAATTACGGTTCATGGTGTTTCTTTTGGATGTAGGGAACTCTCATCCATACCACGCCGGTCGGTGCCACAAACTGTCGGCTTATCTGTTGGATCAAATAGTTTGAAAGCGCATGGATTCCGTTGGGATTTCAAGCGAATCGTACATAAGTGAACGGCAGAAGCACGTCTCTGTACCACCTAAAAGCGTATACAGGGGTATTAAGAAACTTCAGACATCTTAGAAAACGATCGCAGTGAGAGGTGACCCATATAACCATCCTTTTGCCAAAGAAATCCAGCTCAATTTCTCGAGGGTATGGTAGCGAAGACTGTGTACATTTTTAGTCAATGGTCTGGTGGATAAGCCAGACATAGATGACATCTGCACTTCTTTTCATTTTCGTCCACGATTATGTAGAAACAAAACCCTCTGCTGTTGACTTGTTAGTGATGGACTTGGTAGCACAAGAATTACGAAGGTTTATCTCAGAAACGTTTTCTGACACCTGTGTCATTGTGCCCTATGGTCACGTAGTTCTATGCGTTGTAGCGCCAAAATAGGCACGGTATTAGTCAGATATTTGGGCTAGAACTGTCAGTATACTACTCACCAAGATGCTTAGGAGGTCGACCTCTGTTATGCATATAGACATGGAATGGACGATAGTGCAGGAAACCGAGCCACTATGTAGCTAGGCGACTTATGTTACCGATTCATCGGAGGCTCGCTGTTAAATAAATTAAGCGTTCAACCAATGGTCCTTGGTGTAGATCCATGTATTTCAGCCGGCTGTTTCACCGTTTCTCACAGTAATCGTCCAGCTGAACATTTCAATGAGGTAGTAAAGGAAAATTCAGCATGATAGTCTTATTTTCTAGTCCTCCGAGTAAAAGTATGGGTTGATCTCGGATATACATAAATTCGATCTAAATGCGCTATTGAGTTGATCTGATGGGCCTTATAAGTCCCAGCCAAATATTCATATCGAACTTTGCCCTGCCCCCACTCCCCGCTATCAGCTCTCAGATGGTCTTCAATGACCAATAGTTCACTGAAAACTACGTTACTACTTTGGCACAGCAACGTACACAACTTCTGGATATGACTGATAACCCATTTTGTTAAACGACGTCCCCAGTAGTCTGTGGGAGTGAATATATTTCAACAGCGCGTAAGTGCACTTAGCTGTACCGTATGGTCGGGTGAGATCACTTTAGGCCCAGCGGCTCAGTTAGACCGCGCGGTCAGACAGTCCACCTAGAACCATTGGTTTGAGGATGAGTGAATATCAGTTACATCCACGTTCGATGACGCTGACGGTCCAGCTCCAAATCAGACCGCGCTAGTTTTTGTTGCCTTGAAATGTGTCACAAGAAGTAGAAATTCCAATTAGGCGGCACGACGAGAATTAGCCCAGAGTGTAAGCAAGGAAACCCTCAGCTAGACTGTCAAATTTGGCCAGACAAAACTCCCACCGCTAGGCAGTTTCGACAAATCAGTATTATAAGAACAGCGTTTGGACAGCCAAATGGTTGAGTGCTATTCACTACACGGAATTTTTCCAGTAGCTGATCTCAATCTGCCTCAGAAAGCGGATAAAGGAAAGCGATGTTAAGATAGAGGAACAAAGTACAGCGTTACTCGCAAGATACTATCTCCGTTTAGGGAGCCAGGGAAGTTGATGTAGAACTTAAGTGCAGTGATATGCCTCATCCTGATCCTCCCAACGCCAGGTTACTCTCTTGAAGCAGCCACTCCCATGAGAATTTTTGCAGAATTTTCCTATCTCAACTACTCGAAAAGAAAGGACAATGAACAGGACGATTGGAACTTCTTGCTCAGCGACAAAATAAACGAACAGAGTGAAAAATGAATAAGCATTGGGTGCATTGGGTTAAGGCATTCAATTTTCGACTCTAGTACCCGTTTGTAAACTTAAACCCACTACACTCTCGCCAATTAGCTAATTGGTCACATCGGAAGACATCTTGTCATTGAACTGAACAGGCTATAACCTATTTCACATCAGAATCATGGTGCGAAGTGGTGCTTCGTGGTACAATTTCCACGAGATGCAGCGATGCAAGCCGTATATGTCACGTATGTACGTTCTAAAACTGACCCCCTACCAGGTGGTTCACGGTTCGAACTTTTTAAACGGGAATTCATTTCGGGATAAAACATGTGAAACCTAAGGAAAAGAACATTTTACATCGCAGAACGACGGGAAAAGTTGAACGGGGGATGTGCGGTTTGAATCAGTCGGTAAGGCGCGAGCGCTCATGCGGTCCGTGAGGATGGGTTATAGAAGATCTATCCAATCAGTGGCTGCAGACCATGGTGGAGTAGCGCAACCAATGGTGCGGCTGAATCCATTAGCTTATTTCTAACCGCTTGCCTCCCTCGGCTCAGTGACGGAGACATGGTGGCAGATGATCTTACTATTGGTAGCCGAATGCTGTAACAGCACGAAAAATCCGACTGAAAGGAACAGACTTATGGAGTAACTTCATACCGGTCAACCGCATCCGATGAGAATTGACCTGACAATTTGGCTGGGGTCAGATGTTCCAATACCCAATGCGGGATACGAAGTCGACGATCGTAAGCACAAACATATCCGTCGAACACGCGAAGGTGACCGGGCAATGGCAGACCGAGTGATTTTACTGAATCCGTTTCCATTGGAGTCACAATTGAGGGTAGGGTTGGCGGGACCACCTGAGCAGCATTGACAGATTCTATGTGTTTCGGGGGAAGGACCGGATTGAGATGAACAGCCAAGGCTGCACCGATGGCTCCGAACAAACCAGCTTTGAATATCTCACAGCTCCAATGGAAAGATGGCATTGTGGTTCAACTACGTGCCTGAATCAGAAATTAATAGAAAGTTATCAACATAGGAATTGGAATTTAAGGGTTGCTGTCGCTTATGACAAAGGTTTATGTGGAAAAGTATTTATTTTGTGCCAGAATAACAGTGAACACTTTCAGACGCGTCTCATCAACCCGTAAAATTGCAGCCCAGGAATTCAGTAAGTAATAAAACGAGGGTCCTCATGTTCAGATGAGGAAAGGGCAAATTTCGCGATCAAGCAAGTGAAAAATCTACCATCATTACATAATTGTTTGATAAGTAAACTCGCAGTGGGTTCGAATGTCAATACTATTTGTATGATTAGGATTCTTTTGATCCATGTAACCCATTGTATAAGAAAGGCGATTTGCAATTAAGAGATACATGTCCTGGATGGGACAAAACTCTTCTGGGCTATGGGAGTGTTAGCCAACTTGCCCTTACCACCTAGGAAGAAAATATCTCATATTCTGACCCAAGTGGACCATGAAGAAGCTTTGCAGGACAAGTTCAGCTGAAGAATGAAGACGGATTCGCTTGAATCACAAGTTAGGAGCAAATCGGTTTAGGAATGAGTGTTCAACTCATGGTGGTGCAGATTTGGTGTTCAGTTGAGGAACGAGAATAATTGAATTTCGAGGTACATACCTAACTATAAAAAGCGAGCTGTTTTAGTAAAACTTCGTAGGTGATGAAGTGTCTGATGGAGTGAGACGGAGTTCCGGGTGCTTCTCCATGAAATCTTTGCGTAGGGGCGTTTCTGACTTGGACACATTTCAAAAACAATAAGCATACAAATATCATGCGATACGTAGGTGAAGTAACGGCTGATATAGTAGCATCCTTCCCCCTGCTACACTGTTCGATTTATACTTTACGTTTCCGGCTGTTGGTGGAATTCTGTTGGGAACGAATCATCATCATCATCGACAGCATGACATCAGTGTTCAACACCGATGCTTCACTGCCGTACAACCATGACTTATTTGAAAGCCTTATTGTAAAGAAAAGAAT